ATATATTTATGTTTGTGGTTGTAATGTGACAAAATATGGAAAAGTTCAAGGGGTATGAATACTTTTGCAAACCACTGTATAAAACCATATTTTGTTTTGCTTTGAACTCCCAGTGGAGGTTAAAGATAAGAAAAACAATCATTTTTTAAAAGAAAACCTCTTACTAAATGTATTTCTTACAATTTTTTAAACATTTTATATGGTTCAGGTTACTGGTGAAAAGCAAAACTTTTTTTGTATATGTTCRTTTTCAGTTGGAGCTGGCTTTAAGTGCAGTTGTGTTTTTCTCATCTCAGATGAGGCAAAATGTAATAAGAAAATCAATACAATTTTTTTTATTTAAAAAGGGTGACCCTGWTGATGTTTTATTATTATTTTTTATTAATGAATGTACTTGTGAATAATGATCTCTTCAAACAGGCCTCCCACACAACAAAGCTAAATTATCCACCATAGTTTATTTTCAGACTCATCTCTGTCGTCTTTTCAGAGTTTGTTTTATTTGACAGAAAAAGTTAAAAAAGCATTTTCTTTTTCACATTTAAATATTGCATTTATTGTGAACTTCTGTAAATTGTAAATAAATGATTAGCAAAATGGATGAACAAAAACATAAAAAAAATTAAGAACTTTTTATTTCTGGATTTCTATTCCCTGAACTGTTTTGAAATGATTGAATGTTTAATTTTGCACTCTTTTCGTGTAACTTGGGTCAAAAGCCACAGCACATTTGTGTGTACCGGTAGATTTGTTTCCTGTTTGAGTTTGTAAAGTATTAGGGGAAAGTCTAAGTAGACAAAACTCGATTACTGTTTGACTGAGTGTAACTACTTTCACTAATGAGTTTCCTCTACTCCCAGTTCCAACATGGAGTCATTGTTGCAGTGGACTCTCGGGCCACAGCGGGTTCCTACATCGCCTCCCAAACGGTCAAGAAGGTGATTGAGATCAACCCGTACCTGCTGGGCACCATGGCCGGAGGAGCTGCCGACTGCAGCTTCTGGGAGCGCCTGCTGGCCCGTCAGTGCCGCATCTATGAGCTTCGCAATAAGGAGCGCATCTCAGTGGCAGCCGCCTCCAAGCTGCTGGCTAACATGGTGTATCAGTATAAGGGCATGGGCCTCAGCATGGGCACCATGGTGTGTGGCTGGGACAAGAGAGGCCCAGGTAAATGTAACAGCTGTGTTCAGATGCACATTTACGCCTTAATATTTTGTGTGTAAGTTTAAGTCTAAATGTCTTAAGGTTTTGGACATAGTTTTAAAAACAAGCATGTAAACTTTTTTAATGTAGTTTTGTTTTGTATTATTATTATTATTATTATTATTATTAGGCCTAATGATTAGTTTATTCACAGTCATAATTTGCAACCGAGCCACTAATAAAGCTGTTATTTCTATTCAGGGACTATAAATGTAATAAAATTTTGTTACATTGTAGAGACAGACAGCTGAAGTTTGGGGAGAAGAAATGACTGATTTATGTAGGTTTGCTCTGTGTTTAGCTAGATAAGAATTAATTTTAAAAAATCATTCAATGACCACTTTTTTTAGTGAATGTTTTTGCATATTCTACACCAGATCTTTTAATGCTAACACTTTAACCCTTCCATTAATAAGGTGTGAAGACAAGATATTTTCACTCAGCTCATTCATTTTTTTTGCACTTTATAAAAAGTAACTGAATTAAAATGTCCTGATGCATCTCAGTAATCCAGGTAAAAAATCAAAAAGGAAAAAAATTGTATAGGTCTTCTGGACGAGTTCTTCTCTAATGAAACATTTCGAGCCACTAATAAATAAAGAATAATAAAGAATAAAGAATGTCCCAACACAGACGAGCTACATCTAATGGCCAGAACTCTGCAGTTTTCACTCATTTACAGGCCAGCGGTCACTCTTTCAGAGATGAGGATGTTCTCATTCTTGATAGAGAGGAACGTTGGTTTGAGAGAGGAGTAAAAGAAGCCAYTTTTGTGAAGAAAGACCGTCCATCATTAAACAGAGGTGGAGGCCTCCGTTTTCAGTTCTCCCCCTCCTACAGTTCTGCTATTGCCAGTATCACTCCACCCCCTGTTAACAATAGGTGTTAATTAGGTGTCAACGATAGCCATGTGATGTGAGTATCAGTCACATGGAGGCAGGGCTTAAAAGCCTGAATTTTGCCTGAAACTCTCAGACTGAAGAAGTCTCTTGGAGGAGAGACGAAACGTTTCATTAAAGAAGAACCCGTCCAGAAGACCTATACATTTTTTTTAAAACTGAATTAAACATGAAAATAATTTATTTGCATATACATTTCTCATGTATGAGCAATCAGCTGACTTACATTTTGTAATGACTCGTGGCTTAAAGCTGTTTCTAGTTTTTGTTATGTAATTCAGGGTCACAGTAGTTCCGGATTCAAAAACTCCCCTTATTTTTTTGCAACTTGTAGTTGCTTCRGTTCACCACTAGGTGGTACTGCAGGCTGTCTTTTGCTCTCCTCTTGTTTCTGTCCTAAGCCTTGGTTTTGAGATGACACACAGGGAGGCTGTACATCACAGAAGGTGTGCTTAAAGAGGCTGCCACAGTGACACAGTAATGGGAAATCAATGAGGCCGGGACTGTAGGCTGCTGAACGTGTAGCAGGATGAGAGGTGATGGGTCTGAGCCCTGGACAATTGGGTCTCATGTATAATGCCGCGACGTTGAGCCGCGATCAATGCCAGCTTTATCCGGAAAGCAGAGAAGTCTGTGTCAAACGGTGACGGCGTGCCGGTGGGCCCCAACACGCGACACGTGCTAAATCCCAGGCAATCAATTGGGGGGAAATAATGATCCCGCCATGTGTTCAATAGGTCATGTAATGTATAAATATGTTGGCTTATTCACTGCTTTCACTGTGCATGTGATTGAACGGAGAGGTAAATGTCATGTAAATTAAATCAATCACTTTTAGGCAGAAAGCTCATTAGCCAGTTACAACCATGTCAAGAGTGCTTATTTCCCAGATGAAGTGTATTAAGATGCATGCAAAATAAATGGAATAAAAGCGATGTTAAAGAGCTTGACAAATGTGCCTCTGTGTAATAACATTACATGTTATGACACTTGTAATCAGTGTACAGTTAATGCTCGGTAGCTGGGTAAGGAAAGCGCTGCACCGACTCGTGCTTCTTACAAGGACAAGAGGGRTTTGCATTAGGGTCGTGTGTTATTAAATCGGATGTCGCCTCATTAGAAAAAAAGTAGTGGTGTATGGTTTGAAGGCTTGTCAGAAGACCCATGTGGCAGCTGGTTTTTACAGCCGCTCCCAGGAGGCTGATGTAATAGCTTCATTTTTTTCCCCCTCCTCCTTCCTTTTGTGTGACTGCTGCTGCCTCTCACTTTTAAGCCAGTTGTGAATTCGAGTGGGGAGGACAGATGACACTCACTGACCCATTTGATGCCAGCCACCCATGCATTCCACTGCACTCCTCACCTACCTTTAATTGCTGCTGTTCCAGGCAGCTGCACAAGCTGCTGTTTTAAAGAAGAAAAAAAAAACCACCTCTTTAAGCACCTGTCAGTTGATTGATGAAGTAGATGCTGGTTTGCTCCACTGCGACGCTTCATCCAGACTACTTGCTTTCCGTGTAGTTCTATCTTTTTTTTATTTTAAATTCAGTTCATAATTAAATTTCCTGAGCACACGTCACTACGGTGTCAGCGTTTGAGGTTCAGAGACCATTAAGCAGCATCGCATTGGGCTCCACAAAGACTCCAGGTGTGCTTGTATGCTGCTTCTATACTTGGACCTCTTAAAGAGTCCTCAGCCACCTCCGTCAACCGCTCCACTCCACAAAAGAGGCTGTCTTTATAACTCTGTTTCCCTGCCTATTATGTTTTTAACGAGTCCCTCACAGTTTCAAAGTGGAACAGGCAGGTCTTGGAATGGCAAATTACCCCCGTGCATACGCCGGCACTGGATGATTATCATGGCAATCTAACGACAGGCTTAGGAAGCTGCAATTTGCCAGCTGAAACCAATGCTAAGCTTTATTTTTTGCTCCCTGAAAAGTAAGAGGCTCTCCAGCCCTAATAGACTGTCACTAGTTAAACTGAGAATCTGTAAGCGCGGATGTGCAATCTAAAGGCATTGGGAAGTGTTTTTTTTCTTCTGTTGAGCATTAGTGATGAATGTTTTTGCAGTATTTTCACACATGTGTTCCTGCTTTTCTGTGCAAGGATCATTTTCACAGGTTTCACTTGGTGGAAGCGTTAGAAAAACACGCCGTTTCACACGCTGTCCTTTTTTAYCGTCTGCAGCCTGGCTGTGGGCGAGCTCGCAGGCCGGCGCTAGTCACTCCTCCCGCGTCACCCCGGAGTCGGGCCTGGCGAGTGTGTCATGGCGTAGAACAAAATGTTGCGCGTCATGTGTCCACGGCGTGTGGTGTGGAGCAAACTGTCCCTCACGTGTCCATCAAGAGCGTGGCGGGGCCGCGTTGCTCATAGGATGACACGCTAGGTCGGTCTGGCACAGACTCGAGCTCGTGCCGTCCAAGCGCCTGATGCTGACTTCACTTCCACACGTTCAGAGTCGGTGTGTAATTAGCTTTTAACGTGAGCTGCCTCTGTTTAATCCACGGGGCATGAAGGCGCCGTTGCGTTTTTCTTCTCCATCCTGCCCCGGTGAGGCGCGAGACGCAGTTACCTGGACAGCTCAGGTTGTCGGTCGATAGTTAATTTTTAGCCTGTTTGCAGGGATCAATAAGATTCAGAAAGGGGCCTCTGGGCGGACAGTGTCGCGAGCCGCGCCTCGTCAGCAGGTTCCGTGGCCGGCTTCGTTTTACTCGAAGAGGATGCAGCTGTTCATATCTGCCAGCCCTTACTGCACGTGGAGGGACTGCAGCTGTTCTCGTTTTCTCTCTGGAGGACGCGGTGTGTGTGTGTGTGTGTGTGTGTGTGTGAGCACACACACGTTTGTGCGTTCTGATTCATTGGGAACAGGGC